CCTGTGCTTCAGCCCATTGGCACAGCTACTGTGTCGATCCATGTCATTGAAGGTCATCCTCTTTATTGCTGGCCCTTTACTTGAGTAAGGATGATGTCCTTCTCCAGGAATTGTTGTCTGCTAACAACATATCTGAAGTGTGTAAGACAAGTCTCACTGTCCTTGCCTTTAAGGATGACCATGGCCTTACTTCTTCCAAGACAGATTTATTTGTTCTTTTGGTAGTCCATGGTAATTTGAATACTCTTCACCAGCACCACAATAAGAATACAGCAATTCTTCTCAGGTCTTCCTAATTCAACATCCAACTTTCACATGCATATAAGGTTATTGAAAATACCATGGCTTGCTTGTGACCCATAGGATGAACACTTATTAATGATTATATAAATATAAAACATTTATAAATACATTTTATGTCTACTTATTTTACTTGATTTTAAAATCATACTTGTTGAACTGTGGACTTGATATACACTATCTATACTCTGTGCATTAGTAAACACTATACAACCGAAAATGCATAAGTAAATATAAGAAGATGGTAGAGCAAAGAAGTGCTTTATGAAATCTGTAGTCTCTGTATGTGTATTTTTGTCTATCTATTTTCATGTGTATATGCTGGGTTGGAATGTACTCATAAATTATAAATCTTACAAAGAACTGTTTTCAAGAGATTTGAAATACACTATTAAAGCATTGAGTAAAACAGTCTAAAAACATCAATAAGAGAAAATGTGGGATTTTCTCATATGCATATTAATTTCATATACTCATTTTTCCTACTAAAACTTTAGCATTCATCAAAATTGATATATGAATATTCATGTTAATTTGATTAGCTGAAATAGAATTGTTATTGTTGTAGAAAAGAGGGAACATTAAATGGAAGTTATTTAAAGTCATTTTGTTACATGGTCATTGTGGTAGTTATATAATCTATTGTCAATTTGAAAGGATTATGAATGAAGGGGTAGAGTTTACCTGTCAATCAGTTCATAGCCAATGAGGCCTTTGTGTGGCCATGGCCTTCCCAGGAGGATTCTGGGAACTCTGGGATTTCCTCTTTGGAGGTGGGAGACACTCTCTCTCAACTTACTCCCTAAGAGATGCTCTACTGACAAGACACATGCCCTTGTGGCTGGAGAAGCCACATGGAGACCCCTGCAAGCACTGAGATGCTTACACTACCACTGGATTGACAAGACTTTCCACTCACTGGCCTGTGATTGTCCTCTATTCAGCATCATTGCATCTATTTCATGAGTCTGTAGAGGAATTTATAGATTGGTATCAGACATATGGGCTAATACAGACTTTGGGGCTTGATCTGGACTGGGCTGAGATGATATTTCAATGTTCAACTGCTCTTGTATATAAAGCTCTTTCTTATACACATAAGAATGTCTATGAATTTGTTTCTTGAGTCTATCCAGACTAACACAGCCATTAAAAATTGCAATGATATAGATATGTAACCATAAGATAAATTTAAACAATGTAATTTATTTATAAAGATATTTATAACTGCATTCTACTTCGTAATAATAGCTATCTAATAATAAAATTATTTTAAATGAAATGGAGAGACCAGTTCCTGGAGAAGGGCATCATGCTTGGTAAAGTGGATGGCAACATAAAAGAAGAAAGATCTCAGTAAGATGGAGTGACATAGTGTCTGCAACAATGGATTCAAGCATAGAAACAATTGTCAAGATGGTTTAGGGTCATGAGATGTTTTGTTCAGGTTGCAATGGGTTGGAACTGACCCAGTGGCACCTAGCAACAACAACATGCTTTTAAATATAATCTACACATTTGGGATTCCAACTCAGTGAAGGAATCTGAGACTGTTTTTTTTATATTAGTGTTATATGCCCCTCAACTTAATGAATTGCTTACTTAATATCTTCACTTATAATTTCCAATCCTGCTTTGTATGCACACCTATGTTGTTTTCCTAACTTCCTAACAAAATATATTTCCTAATGTATGTTGTTCACTCAGAAACTTAAATACTAGTAAAAAAATTGTAGATGCCTCAGAAGACACATTTACTCCTAAAAGTAACTGCCACATCCTATCCAGCTCTGTGTTACAGTATTGTGTTAAATGGTACTAATTAATGTCTCATTAGATAGAAGTTTCTTTTAGAAGAGCATATCATCTCTTTTAGAAACCATGAATAGGATGCATAAAAATTCATTTTGAGCACTAACCACTAAATAACGTTGCCAAACTTAAGGGAAGTGCTCATTTTCAACATAATCAATTTCTGAAAGAATAAAACTAATGGGCAGCTTGTGGCCAAATCTTAACAACGACAAATTACAGAATATTTTTAGGAAATAAAAATTGATCTATAAGCTCTCAAGTACAAATTTTACGCTTCACTCCTATTGTTAATTTTTCTGGCAGGAAAATGTTACATAAATTACATTTTTGCAAAGCTATAAGTAAAATATCAAATGAAATTACACTAAAAGGTTTTATATCCTCTTTTTAAGAGAAAAGACTTAGGTAGTAACCAATTATTAAAGGTATTGGACAAGGTTTTCTGTAGCATTGCAAAAATTGAATTGAAACATGAAAGCATCTCATCTTCCATTTTCTCCCTACATAATATTTATAGGATATCCAAATTCTATTCAGAGAAATAAATTAGAACATTCCAAAAAGACAATTAAAATTGTGAATAAATTACCTGACAGATTCAGCATCAATCTAAAGAAAAGTTATTAAGTGCCTTCTGTATTAATCTGGAAGCATTTGGTTGCAAAAAAGAGAACACTAGTACACATTTACTTGTGATAAAAAGCTAATTATTTTACCCAGATTCTGGTGTTAAACGTTATCGTCATATTTCTTTCTCTCCCATTTGCTTAGAGTATCTTGCCTTTGGTTTTCTCTTTCTTGGCTTCACTTCTTTCTTCTGGAAATAGACTGTGTACTTGCTCAGAAAGCTGCACTTCTATCTGCTCATTCTTAATAACGTATGAATTAAAATCGAGAACCATTGCCTATACACCTAAATATACCAGACACATCTGACTTATATAAACAAATGTAATTTTTTTATGAGTTATTGAAATCACTTTACATGGACAAAATTGTCAGCACAAACTGAATACTCTCTAAAAGTTGCAACACCCCTGGTTCGAAAACAATGTGAATTATACTGAACTATGGATATTCTTAAGAACAATAAGAATTTCAGAAGACTTAACTGTGCTCACTTAGAATCTGTACATGGCTCAAGAGTCAGTTGTGGGAGCAGAACAAGGGAATAAAGCATTATTTAAATCAAGGAAGGTGTTCATCAAGGTTATATCTACTCACCATCCTTCTTCAATCTATATGCTCAGAAAATAATCAGAGAAGTTGAACTTTGGCCAAAGAACTCAGCATAAGAATTGAAGGAAGGCGTATTTAAAAGCTGTGATCTGAAGACGACGCAATCTTGCTTGCTAAAAGTGAGAAGGACTTGAGACACTTGATGAAGGTCAAGGATTGCAGTATTCACTATGAATTACAACTCAAAGCAGAGAAAACCAAAACCTTCCCAACTAAAGCAAGACGCATGATAAACTGAGAAAAGACTGAAGTTATCAAAGATTTTTTGTTCTTGGATCCACAATCAATTCTCATTGAAGCAGCAGGCAAAATAAAAGGACAAATTGTAGTGGACAAATCTGCTAGACAGACCTCTTTAAAGTGTTGGAAAACAAGGATATTACTTGGAGGAGGACTAAGGTGTGGCTGACCCAAGGTATTTTTACTTGTCTGTGCATGTGAAAGTTGGACACTGAATGACAAAGACAATTGACCCAATTGAATTATGATGATGGTGAGGAATATTGAAAATACCATAGACTGCTGAAAGAACAAAGAAATCTGTCTAGGAAGTTGTACAACCAGAATGCTCTCCAGCAGCAAGGATGGCAAGACTTCATCTCACCTGTTTTGGACATGTTATTAGAAGAGACTTGTCCCGGGAATAGGACACCAGCCTTGAGAAAGTACAGGAGTATCGAAAAAGAGGAAAACCCAGGACAAGTTGGATTGACACACAGGCTGAAGCAATGGGCTCAAACTTAAAAAGAACTTGTGAGGATGGCACAGGACCGAGCAGTGTTTTGCTCTGTTGTGTGCAGCGTAACTATGACTTGGAACTGGCTTGATGACACAATAATAATAGGGTTTTCATTCAGGTATTGAATCCATCTCAAGTTTATTTGAGATGTGGAATATAGGTTCTAGTTTATTCTCCTGGAAATGGAAATCTAATTTTGCAAAACCATCTGTTGAAGAGGTCCTTTCTTCCCCATTTTAAAGTATCTCAGTCATTTGGGTGACTCTTTATGGTCATAAATCTCTCTTTGTTTGCTTCTGAGATGACTTTTTTATACCCAGTGTGTGTTAGACAGGGTTCTCTAAAGAGATAAAACAAAATTGCTGATAATTTAATATATTTATTTATAAAGATAATTAGATATATAACAAGAAATGAACTGTTAAATCATATACAGATAAATATATAATACAAGAAATAAACAGTTAAATTATAAAGCACTACAAATGGCTGAGTGCAACTCACATCTATGAGAGAGTTGTGAGAGACTAGCAGTCCTTCAAGTCTAGTCTGCTGCCAGCTCTTCCTCTATTTATAAAGAGAGCTAGGCTATATCAGCACAGCAGCCAATCACAAGGCAGGTCACCAACCACCAGTCTCCAGCTCCAGAGATGTCTTAAAGGGACCTCAACTTACAGCGACACAGTCCACAGGCTAGGCATCTCACAGGTAGTGTAGCCTTTAAATTGAGGCACAGAACAAGCAAGGCAGCCGCACACTGGTCCGATGATCAAACAGCGAGAAACAAGCAAGGTGAGACTCACCTGTAGATGAAGATGGCCTGGAACCTCAAGTCTGTGTTATCGAGCTGGGGTGGGGGTGGGGGTGGAGGGGGAACGACGGTGGGCGATATAGGATTCCGTGATTTTCAGAGTCGGGAGCTGCTTCCACTTTGGTCACTGTAGGTGTCCCTGGGCGAGAGCCGGCAGCCCTTCTGGAGGTAATGTGGGAGCCTCCCAACAGAGGCCAGGAGGAGGCCAAAGTAGGGTGGGGAAGGCTTGATGGGCCTGGACAGGCATTCGGGGTGGTACTGGACCCCCACAAAAAAAGGGTGATCTTCCTGCTCCACAATCTCCATCGACTCTCCTTCAATGTCCTGGCCAACAAACTTGAGGCCTTGCTCCTCCAGGCACTTTTTCAAAATTGGATTGACCACAAACCTGTGGCGGTGTCTCTCCTCCAGGAACTCTGGGTCCCCGTAGAGCTTTCTCATGACCAAGTGCTTGGTCTGGAACAGGGTTCTCCTCTTGCCCAGCCGCATGGTCCCGCCCATCTGCCCAGGGTTGTGCTCTGGCATGTCTATGACCACGGGGTGACTGGTCTTGGGATCAAACTCTGTAGAATTGGCATCTTGCCATCCCAGCACGTTTCTGGAGAATTCGACCACTGCCAGCTGCATTCCTAAGCACACACCCAGAAAAGGCTTTTTCTGTTTGCAAGCCCAGCCGATGGCCTGGATCTTCCCTTCCTTCCGTTCCTTGAACACCGAACCCTCCAGGAACCAGCGCTCCGTGCGCACTGCAGAGCTTCTGCCAGGCTTCGTGGTAGCGGACGGGCTCTTCCTGCAGCGTGCTCGGCTCCAGGTCTGTGGAGTCTATGTACTTGATCTCCAGTTTGTGGTTGATAGCCAGTGCCGAGGGCTCCAGCGCATTAATGACAGAGGCATCGGAGCCGGAGAACTTGGTGTATTTGCCCACAAGGGCAATGGAGCAGGTCTCCAGCAAGCGGTCGTATCTGTCAGCCATCTCCTTCCACTTCATCAGCATTTTTCGGGGCTGCCTCTCAATTGGAAGATCCAGTCTTCGGAGAAAATAATCCACAACCCCCTGCTCTTCTAGTAGCAGTGGGACACGGTAGATGGAGGACACATCATGGACGCAGATGACCTGTTCAGGCTCAACGTGGCAGAACATGGATATTTTCTCCTTCACGTCTGTGTCGAGAGGGTTTGAACACCTGCACACCACCAGGTCTGGGGAAAGCCCAAGCCCTCTAAGTTCTCGAACACTATTCTGAGTGGGTTTCCTCTTCTGTTCCCCTGTTGAACTTGGCTGGGGGACGAGACTGACATGGATATTGCAGAAGTTCTCTCTTTTGACTTTGAACTGGAATTGCCGGAAGGCCTCGATGAAGGGCATGCTCTCTATATCGCCAGGATTCCCGCTATTAACTCTCTGCCCTTCAGTTAATCCCACTTGTGTTTATCAGCCAGGCTGCCACAATAAACTATCTCACAGTGTAATGACAAAAGTGGCCACTTCTCATTAACAATGTTATGCATGCCTTATTTGCATGGTCCCATCCATCATTTTGTGGAAGTTAGAAAGATATGGATTCAATAGCCATATTTAGGTTATTTCATTTCATCATAGCACCGAAGAACAGCACAAAGAGCATGTGCATTTGAGCAATTAATTTGAAGGAAATGTCTCTAAGGAAATTTTGAATGTTAAAATAATTAGATTTGGCATAGCTAAAGAAGAAAAAAGAAAGTAGAAATCTTCAATCTTTACAAGAGATGACTTAATGCAGTTCCTCAAGTAGTCCTTACTTATATGAAGAAGTATAACAAAATGTTTGCTTTGAAGCAGTCTTGGGAATCAAGAAGATCTGGCTAGCATGTTCTACTTGGAAATGCTATATTTTCGTTGGAAATAATGAAACAAATTTGTGGGAAACGAGGAGAGATGGATGAATAATGAACTCCTAAGATAAAAAGCAATTTCATTTTTGTACTGTGTGTGTGTTGGTATGCGTGTGTACTTGTTTGTATATATTTGAACTTTTTTGGAATGGACTGGGGAGAAGAAAAGATGTGCAGACAAATATGTGGTGCCTATGGAAACACTAATATTTAATGGAGAAAGAGAATGTCGCACAAGTATTTTCAGAAAGTTTATTTTTGAAAAAATAAACATATGATTTTGTTTCCAGACTACTTGAATGTAAAATTTTATGAAGATTAAGACCAAAAATCTTACTGCCATCAAGTTAATTCTGACTCAAAGCAACACTATATGACAGAGTAGAAAAGTGGGTTTCTGAGACTGTCCATCTTTCTGTTAGTCGAAGTCTCATATTTCATCTGTGAAGAGGTTAGTGGAGAGTAAAAGGTTTTTGTCTATTATTAAAGGAGTAATGGGAACTCATTTTATTAATTTTTAAAATATTTTAAATGTTGATTCTGTGTCATGTTTTTAAAGTACAGTAAGCACATTAAAGTTTTGCTTTTCATTCTAATGAAATGAAGGTACAATAGAGTTATACATACTTGTTAAGAGTAGTACATATCTATTACTACTTCCATTTATAAGTTCAAATCAGTAAGTATAACACTGCTGAATTATTTTTGTAATTTAAGAAGGTAATGAAATCTTAAATTATCCTGATAATTTCAGCTTTTATAATGCATTTTTAGTTATACCATTAGCATGAGAATGGCAAAAATAGCATATGTATACATATACATATATATAAATGCTATCTATAGCTTGAGTTGCGGAATATTGTATTTTTGGAAGATGTCTTTGACCTTTAATGACTAATGTTGTTTGATTTATTATTTTGCCTCAGTTTTCTAAAAATGGACCAAAAGGGAGTGACTGATACTGAAAAGGAATGGAGGCCCTTCCTCCTGGCCAAATTTCGGATGGCCTTTACTGTGCTTCCTCAAGGATGGTCTTCTCAGCGTAACTTTAGCCATTGTTGATTATAATTTACTGTAGTTGAAATAACTAATTCTACAGCTGATGGCAAGTGGAAGTAAAATGGTCTGATTATTTCACTTTGAATTTTAAAAGGCACACTGTCAAGTTTAAACTTAGCCAGCTAAAAATAAAATAATGGAAAAAGGTGTTGTCAGCTAACTCAACAAAAATAGAAATGTTTTCATTACTTGAAAAATAATGAAAATATATTTTAGTAAAAAAGAAATCAACACTACATTTCCCCACATTATTTTGGAAACAGATCATAGAATGATAATGTAGGAGAACTAGAAAGGGAAATGCGAAAGGAATTTTCACATAATAAATAGATTTTCAAAATGGTTCAGAATAATGTAGATTAGAACCTGGAAACTAATTTACTGCTTTATAATCATTTAGTAATAATTACAAAACAAATTTACTGAAGGTCTTGTTTATCAGGTCTTACCTGGTGCTTCAAAAATGTGCATAGAAAAAATCAATTATCTTTCAATTCCACTTTTCAAAGAATTTCAAAAGTACTTGTAAATACGTTCTTCAAATATATCTTGAAATCAATGCAGTAAAATTTTAAAGAAAGGCATTCACTGGTTTTGTAAATATTTGTAAAAATAAATCACAAAAAACATTTTGGCTGTAATAGTGTAATTTATGGTACTGAATTTAATCAGCTGTAAGAACTTTTCCACAAAAAGCTTCCTATGTGTCTATATTCCTTTGAGAGAAATCCCTGATGATATTTTCTACATTGTAATTTGTGTTTTGAATTCAAATGGACAATTTCAAAATATATGCACTACCTAAATAAAATACAGAATAGTTGTAATATAATATATTGGTTTTGAAAATGATGCCAGTCATTTAATTTAATTCATATGTTAAAATTCCTATGTCATCTAAATTCAAGCTAATTCAAGATATCTTATGTAATTTTTAGTTAAATAGGACACCTCCCCATATTTTAGTGTTCAATTTTAAAATTAGAGTTTATAATTTCTTAAATCAAGTATTATTTAAAATGTGATTTATGGATTTTTCACAATTGTGAAACATTAGTCATATTCATATATTTCTATAATCTAAAGATTAAAATGAACAGAAAATTGATCTAAGAATTTTTATAATTGAAATCCATATAACTATATATTTTTATGTGGCTACTTTTGCAACAGAAAATAAAATAAATAATAAAGGAAATGGAACAAAATGAGGAGTTATGCCATTGAGATAATAGACAACTAAAAGTAGCCTTTTATAATTTCAAGCATCATTATTCATCCTCCAGAAATCAACTGAGTAAATAAACGCTATCTGTATGAGATAATTTTGACCTATTAACACATGTTCCTGTGAATTAAGTTTAACCTATTTACAAAAACAGATGCATAGAGCACTTTCATGTATTTATATAAAGTGTGACCATTTAATTCATTCATTTTAAACAAAAATGAAAGCTTACTATTGGCCTAAAACTATAGAATGTGCTTAGAATAAAGAAATGTGTAAAATGTGGTTTTGCATCTTAAATAATTAAGGATTATGTGCAAGATAATTCTGTGTAGGACATAGATGTCACAATCTAAAATTTTTCTCTCGAAATCTTTCTCTACCATGTTTAAATCCTTCTCTATAAAACCAACAAAACAAATTCACTGCCATCAAATTGATGTCAACTTATAGTGACCCTATAGGACAGGTTAGAATTGCCCCTGTGGTTTTCTGAGATTGTAATTCTTTAGGGCAGTAGAAAGACCCCACTTTATTCCAGATACACCAAAAATATTTTCCTACATCAGGGTGTTTAAACTTTCTGTTTTCTGTGCCTGTGATCCTTGATGGAATTTCTGAATTTGCAGGTTTTTAGCATTTATTTCTCTTTACCCACGTAGTATGCCTACCTCCTGTCTTTGTTGTTACACTCATATTGCCAGGACCCCAAAGTTATGAACTAAATTGTGTGCTAAAAAGAGATTTTCTTTGAAAAAAATATCATTTAAGTAATGACAAAGTGCAATGTTTCCCATCCTAATCACTCTGAGTAGTGTCTTATATAAGAGGAGAAGAAAAATGGAATAGAGCCATAAGCAAAAAAATAACGTTGAGAGTTGCTGGCACTTATTAAAGGTTAGGAGAAAGGCTCCGAACTGAAGAGTTCTCTCAGAGCTTTTGAAGGAATCAACATGACTACACCCCGACTTGAATTTCTAGATTCCAAAACTGTGAGAAAATTAATTTCTGCTCTAAAAAGTCACCCACTTTATGGTGTTTTGTTATGGCAGGCCTAGGGAAACAAGACAGAAGAGATCATGTTTGACCCATGATAATTATAATAATGCCCAAACCCCAAAACCACTACCATCAAGTCAATTCCAACTCATAGTGGCCCTAGATTTTCAGAGACTCTAAATACTTAAGGAAGCAGACAGACTCATCTTTGTCATGTGAAGTCGCTGGTGAGTTTGAGCATTGTGTTAACAACCCAAGGCTTATCCCAGAGTAACAGGCAATAGGACTCTGTCAATGACAGTTTCTCAAACTCTTTGCTTTGGAGGGAACATTTCCTCTAAGTCGTGTTAATACAGTAGAAGTAACTATCTTTTGATAAATTCTCTAGCAAACCTGTTAGTTAATTGTGTGAAGTTGGGTTGTAGAGAGAAATGAAACCAGTGACACTCCTATGTAAGTAAGAAATACCTTTCTATTAAGAAGGAGCTCTAGACCAGTGCAACTTAAGTCCACTGATCTGATTCTTTGGACTCATGTTGGTGCCTGGCAGTGATGCAGAAGATGAATCAGGATTGAGGGAGATCACAGACCTGTAGGCTCTTGGACCCAACGTCA